CCTCCCCCTCACTCCCTCCCCGGCAGTTTTCTGCTCTTTTTCTCTGCCTAAAACTCACAGCATGCCTGAAAACTGTCAAGTGGTTTCCATTTGTATCCAGGAATCTCAGTATTAATAATGCATTTTTACTCTATTATTTCTACACTTTCAGTGAAACTTCATAGCAAGCTGACAATTTCTGCCTCACAAACACTCCCATGACATGATTTCAAGAAACCTGGATGGCATCTACAGGAGCAACGGGGACTGCAGTTCAGCTACATCAGCCTCTGCTTTCAGGAGGGATGCTCGTGTCCTTCATGTGGCACCTGGGACTTGTTAGCATCAAGTCCCTAAGGCAGTGTGAAAGGTGCTGTTTCAAACCCCAGCTGGTAGGGAAAGGCAAGCCCAGCTGTCTTCTGCTCAGAGAGGCCAGGAAAGCAAAGTGGAAATCACCTGCTTTATTCTCTGTACAACAAAGAGGGCAATAAAACAAGATAACACTGTCTCAAGAGCCAAGCAAGAAAATCATTCACACTTCCTTCCCTGACCTCCCAAAAAAGGGAGTGCAGAGCAATAGGCAGTAAGTCTGCAGGACAGCACAGAGTGGGCCATAACTCGTCAGAAGCTCCTCCAAAGTACAAGGCAAATGAGTGGCTCATTAAGGGTTAGACTCCAAACGGTGTGGGGGCTCTGCAGTGGGCACAGGAGACAGCTGGGAGCACAACCAGGGCACGGAGGAGCTGTTTGGTGAATGTCTGCTCTGAGGGTACTGTGAGCACCCACAACAACTCTTGTTCAGCCAGGAAATGGGGCTAAAACTTGCCAGGGTACGTTAATAACGCTGCTAAAATAAACCGTCACTGGAAGAATCCAGATGACTTGGCTAGTCCTTGGCACACAAAGGTCTGGTTTTGTTCCCCAGGTTCATCTGCATCCCAGCTGCCCACCAACTCTCAAAGCAAAGACCAGGTGTTACCTTTGTGCAGGGAAACAACACAGAGCAGATACAGCACCAAAGTAAAGAGGTCAGCTGCACGTTGGGTTCCCCAAAACACAAGGACAAGCCCACATGGTTAGACTTAAGGGACATTGCCACCTCCATTACTTGCTTACTTTTAGATGCACTGAACTGTTTTTACTTCTGTGAGCCCTGAATTAAGCCATTACCTCAACGCAAAGAGCTACCAAGTATTCAGCACAGCAGCAGTCATCAACTTTCCCGGACGTGATACAAAACCCAGCGCTTTCTGCAAGGAAGGGAGGATTCATTATATTCAGGCTAAAGCCAAGGGATCATAAAAAGTGAGCCTCCAAGTCTGAATTCAGTCTGAAACCAGCCTTCCAATGTTCAGAAAATTATCATGCTTTTCATGTTTTCTTCCTGCTTTTTTCACAAAGCCCCTCAATCTCCACCACATATCCCTCTGCCTTCCTGCAAGTCACACCGATCCAATTTTGTCCCACATCCCCAACCTCTACTGCTCTCCAGCCCTCTGCAACCCTGCGTGATGGGGATGTGCAAAAATCTCCACCCCTTCTCCTAAACTTGGGTTAGGCAACCTGCATTCGCTCCCTGTGTTTCTGGCAACATTTCCTTGGCTGTTCCTGCACTGCAGGAGCTGCCACCTTCCCTTGCACGAACTGTGTTCCCCTTCCCCGAGTTCACCCAAGTCCTGCAGGCACCACACACCGTCAGCTGCTCACAGCAGCCACGGACACGCGACCCGTGACTCATGATTCGAGTCAGCATTAAGCTGCTTTCCCAAACCCAAATCCAAATCATCTGACCAAGCACGCCACAGAGTATGACCACAATCTGCCTTAAAAGTACAGTTCTGTACCCAGGCCCCGTTTGCTGAAGGAAAGGTCTCCACGCTACTTCCTAACACACAATTTCTAAACAGGGGAGCGCTACAGAAATACCTCTGCAGTCAGGGTCCATCCTACCACAGCTAGATTTATTACTTCTAGTATCCCATGCCAAAATTAAATATAGCATGGAATAAATTAGTAATAACTCTAATAGATAAGATCCACAAATTAACCTGTTACTGCCATTAGAACTAAATAAGAGAAAGCAAAGCGATGCTGGCAGTAAGAGCTGACATTTAAGCATGCATCGTGCGCAGCCAGAGTAGCTCTGAACGAGTGCACATGGGAAATTCTCATCGTGTGACAGACGCTCAGCAGCTCGTGGAATAGATGTGAACTACGCAACTGTGAAATGCATCTTGGTGCAGCCCAGTCCCTCAGTACAGCAGCAACAGGGGTGCACAGAACATGCCAATGCAACAGAAATTCCTGAACCACTGGAGTTTGGATAACTGTGGGACTACCAGCAGAGCTAAAAAGCTGTGTTCGGGAATCATTATTTCATCAGTAAACACAGGGGGCCTAATTTTGTTCTCAACTACAGTGATATAAAAAGTTACTGTGGAATCAGAGTAATCACACTGCAAGAAGAAAGCATTAATATCAGAATTAGGTTTGTGCTACCTGTGAAGAGATGGGCAGTATCTGCTGCACTGTGCTTACACTGCTCCTAGATGTGCGGCAGTCCCCGTACTTCCAACAGGAGGTAGAGCAAACAATCACTTTGTTAGCAGTAAATGATATCCTCTAGCAGGTGCTGCAGAACATCTTACAAAGAGCTGCCTCACCGCTTATCAAAAAAAGAAACAAAGACAAAGAATACAATAGCCTAATTTAGATATGTCCTTTGTAAGCCATCATCAGTCAAAATCCTATGAACATGATGTACAATATGTTCTCTACTTGACGTTTTTAACCACATCAACCATTATTAAAGAAAACCAAAGTCTTCCATTGAACTATTAAAGTTTCTTTACAACTTGGACCCACCCAAAAGATCTTGGACTTCGCACTCATCCCATTACCAGGCCAGAAGCAGGAGCTGCCTGCTTGTTCCCAACACGAGCAGGTGAAACACAGACCGGAGACGTTTACTTTTACAGTGCAGTTCTAATGTAAATGTCAAAAAAATTCTGTCTCGATTTTTATTTTTATTTTCCTCTAAATCATCTGTCATACTCTCTCTATTCTAGCGAAGTACAATTCCTTTTACGGAGATAGAGCTTGGGGAGCTTTATCTCCAGCTTCAGATCACATGTAAGATATTTCAAGTGCAGATAAAGAGCTAGATTAAAATAGTATCAGAGGCTGCAAAACACAGCTCCTATTGTCAATTCTTCACCGTGCCTTCAATGCCCTTTTAACAGAAATCCTCAAAGATTATTCTCAGGATTTGGAGAGGGGGGAAAAAAATAAAAAATCAAAGAGTACAATTCCAGGATGGAATCTGAGCATGCTTCTACAGGGATATGCACAAAGACTCACGCCCAGCCAAATTTTAATGAGGATATTAAAAGCTCATCTTGAACACAAATGCAAAGCCATCCCTGATTTCAAGTCATTAATGACTCAAGTTCTTCAGTGAGGACCAAACACGCATGCATTGTGAGATGGGTTCTCCTTAGGTCTCTGATAAATAGCTTATCTTTCACTTTATCAATAAAATCTCTTCTGAAGCAGATGCAGACTATTCTGGGGTCTGAAGAGCCAAACTGGGACAACTGAAAGCAGGGTTTTAAAGGAGGAAGTTCTGAACCAAATTAATCACAACCAGTGCCTCTGCTAGACCCATTTTCCTCCAGTACAATACCTATGGCTGTGATATAGAGGCTCCAAACCAAACAAAAGGGAAGGAGAATGAGCCTTTGTTAACCAATCTCTGAGCAAAGAAAGAATAAATTGAAAGATAAGTAGTTTCTATACCTTTTGTGAATTACAGCTACAAAATGCTGTGAATAAGAATTGAGTATCCAGCTACGTTCATTACGCTTTCATTCTCATCTTCCCTTCCTGTGAGGGCATGCAGGAAAGCTGTATGTGGACTGCATATAAAGCCTCAAACTTATACATGCAGCTGTGTAATTCATGGGTTTCTGTAAATATCCAGCAAGATAACTAAATTGCAGGATCTATTTAGTATGCATCACCTCAAAAAAAGTCACTATCCCTGGGAAGAAGGAAATGCATCAATATAGCAAGAGTTTGTGCTCCTTTATTCTCAGGATATGAAACACGACTCTTAAATACTACCCCTTCCTACTTATCTTAACCTATTAAATTAGGATGATCTCTGCAGTGCTGGACGATGGCTTCATTTGCACAGTTCAAGTGCTGTTGAGAGATCTCACAGAAACTGACGGAGCTAAGGGTGGAGCCCAACATCACACTAGTACATTTTCTCCAGTTCTGCTTCATTACAAAGAAAAAATAAAAAACCACCCCCCTCCCCAAAGCACACAGTCACGGTGGTGATTTCTCACTGCAGCAGCCCAAGGTGCTGTGAACCAAGGCACAGGGTTAGCATAGGGGTGGACCCGGGAGGACAGGAACCTCTGGAGGTCATTTTTCCACCTGTGAGAATGCAACATTTAATTTGACCCCAAATCCATTAGCCTCCAGCGTATCTCACACACTGAGAATATCTATTACCTTGAGACCTAAACAACAGCTCCCAAATTAGGGGAAACGAACCACCACATCTAAACCAATCATACCTAAAACCTTTAGGGCCTCCTCTTTCCACCCTCTTCCTTCCAACCTAGTGTCAGAAGAGTATCAAATAACAGGGAAAATTCCTGCTAGGCTTATCCCTCAGTCCAGCAGGATCTCTAAACCCTTTATCAGCACTCACAATGAAGACCTAAGATAACGCCCCCCTACTTAAGCTGAATTCTGGCACACTGCAGTGTGTGCTCACCGAGTGACGGGGACCTGCGGGGTGCAGGAAGGCAGGTCCTGCAGCTCGCTGTGCTGAGCTGTGCACACACATCCAAAGCAGCGCCAGCATCTCAGCTTCCTGGGGCCTTCAGGGCCCTTTCTCTAACACGTATTTCAGCTGCTGGTTTATGACTCCCCCCCAGCTCGATATACCAATTTGAGATAAACACGTTATTGGTCTATAACTTGAGAAACAAGAACTGCCACTGGCAGCTTTATGGGAACACTTTATTCAGAAAAAGCTCTTGTGCCAGTTAAACAGGCTTAAGCTGTAGCTCAAGACTGCAGCTTTTGCAGGTGTCACCAATTTCTCTTGGAGAGCTATAAGGAGCTGCTGCAGAAGAGCCACTCATTTGCTGACCACAGCTGCAACCACACCAAATGCTCCTCAGCTCAGCTGACGAGTCAGTCTGAAGCTGCAGAGCTTTGGTCTGAGGCTCACAGATGGTCAGACACAATTTCTTATGCAGGCTGGTATTCACCTGCTCAATGACCTCCTGCTCAAGAGGAGGGCAGGACAGTCACAGTGGGAAATGAACAGCAATTCTCCCAGACATACACAGTCCGTGCCATCGAGTATGAAGAACTACACACATCCTGCATGGGTTTTTGGCACCAGGAAGAATGCTTTGCTCTCTTCATCCCTTTCATACTCACTGCTAGAGACAGCACAGCACCTCATGCACCCGTTGTGAACCAACACACAGCTTGTGTTCACTGCTTTAGGCAGCTCCGGATCAGAACGGTATAACTAGTGGTCAGCAGTCGATGCCTAATTAAAAGTAAGTAAAAATAAGAAAAAAATATTAACCTAAACTGAACCTAAAATGATCACCAAAATCTACAAGATGGATTTTCTTAATTATTCACAAGAAAAGGCAAAAAAGAAAAGAGTAACAGGACCATAAATACTCTGGAAGCGCTCTCCTTGGTCACCTCTGAAATGAATTTCCACTGGGTACAGGGAAGCACCGAGAGGCACAGAGAAACCACAATCAAACTTCAGGAAATTCTGCAGAAACCAAGTCTCCTGTTAAAGCCAGGGAAAAAATAACAGAGCTCATTCATCTCCCATCCTTTGCCTAGCAAACATCATCAAATATAGAGTCAGTGGGTTAACCTGAACCGCAGCAGAGTGAAAGGGTTCACAGAGGGGGAATTATTCTTCTGACTGCAACCTGGCTTCAGCAAAGCAAGAAGGGAGATTTTTCTGTAACAGCACGCGCGTGCTGCTCTGACAGCACACAGAAATTAAGTGTTGTGCACTAATATACCCAGCACTAGCTTCTGCTGGAGGCAGGATGTCAGCCACAAAGGGCCAATAGACTGATCCCATATGACAATCCCGTATTCCTGTGTATTTAACCATATAATTAAAACCTTCTGCTGCTACACATACTAATTACACGGACAGCATTTGTTTCAGGAGTCAGCAACCCCCTGACTGACAGCGTGGCAGCACCAGGTGACTGCAGCAGTTAGGCAAATGCTGACAATTTGGAGCTGTCAGCATTGGACACCCTGGTAGGGCTGGATGGAGAGTTCACATGCATCTCTGCTGGACTCAGTAAGTACCCTTAAAATCACCAGACCGAATTGCTCCAAGCATAAGAGACACCTGTAACTGTCTCACGAGGAACCCCTGACAAAGCCAGATCCCTGGGAACATCAGCTGGGCCTCCACAGAGGCTGCCTGGTAGCAAGACAGAAGATGCAGCTCAGGCCTGTGGCTAACCAAGACTTCACCTACCTGCCTGCAGTGGCGGTGCGGTGCCCCGTTCTGGAAATTTCCATAGACGGTATCATTGACAGCGTGGCAACATGTCCTGAAGCAGACTAATCATGTGCAGGAAAAGCTGCACTGAGAAAGGAACAAGATTTCACTCGATGTAATCTATCTGCCCCTTCCCACAGCACGTGCAAGTCTAATACCAAAGCTCTGCCTGCCTCCAGGTGCACCTTATTGAGCCCCATCCCACAACCCAAAAGATTCCTGCAGACCTTCAGCTGGGCTTCACACCTCTAATGGACACTAATGCTTGGAGTTAACCCTTCCAGTTCCCAAGAAAAAGGCATTTCTGCATGAGACATTAGCCACAAATGTATCAGAGCAGCTCTCTGCACTGCAGAACACGTGCACCTAAGGCCCAGGACATTCCCCACTCCTGCACGCAAGGAGCTCACGGGGTTGTGCCCAGCCTGCATAACCATCTCCACTGACCACACGCATTCAGCCATAGTTAATCCTTTGAGGTTGCCCTGATTGCTCTCTGTATACATTAATAATTTGGCAGCCTCCAGGCCATGACTGGCTGTACTCACCACGCTGCCTTTTAACTGGAAAGACAGCATTAGATGCCATCAGCCGCTCGCTGTCACGCTGCGTTGTCCACAAGAGATAATGAGCCTGGAGGCTGCAGCCCCTTCGGTGTGGTGGCCAACATGGGACTTCGTGGCACACCCTGACCAGTCTGTCCTGGAGGCTCTAGCAGGCACGAGGCACGCCTGTGCCCCCACACCTGTATTTTTTCTTGTAGATTTGCACTGAGGGTTGAGGATGAGTTTTCTCCTTTCTTACAGCAGAAACTTCCAGCCCACAAGGAAACCAACACTTAGTACAGCTCTTTAAGGGTTGCTTTGGCATAAAAAAGTATCCCTTGCTGCGTTTAGCAGGAGCTTTTAAAACCACTTCCATTACAGACACCCACAATTGTAACCTGCTGGACCACATCCTATGTTTTCTCCCTCCTTTTTGGTTAATCCTGGATGTTACAGAACTGTGGTGTTTACACTTATGTTCATTTCCCCGTTCCTAACTGTAGGGAAACGTTAACTGAATTGTTCCAGCCCCCCTGCGTGCTCTCTGTTCCCAGCGACAGCCCCCTTCCAGCTGGGCGCAGTAAAACCTGCACTGCTGAGCAAAGGCAGCGAGACCCCACGCTGCGTCACAGCGAGCGGAGGCACAAACAGCTCCACTGGATACCAGAAAAACAAAACAACAAACCAAGCCCAGACCTCAGATGCTTATTTTAAGCTACATGTTGTTGATCTAAAGAGCTGGTACTGACCAGAGGGGATTAACGGAATCAAAACATCTCTTATTTGTGAAATTTTAGCCAAATTTACTAACAGGGGATACCAAACTAAGCTATACACAACCACAGAGAGCTAGGCTCAGAGCTCAGTGACACTGGAATAAATCCAGCTGCAACTTACAGCAGCATCACCAGGAAAGCTCCATCCTTGCAAACCTATGCAATGGACTATGGGAAGATTTTAGTTGCAGAAAATAAGAGTTAGGGAGGACCCATCCATCTCCACCCTGTATCAGTCCTGGACTGGTTTAATTGCACAGCATCCTTCACATACTGCAAGTGCCCCTGGTTTTGCACTACTCCACAGTATTACAATTATTTAATCCTGTATTATCTTCTTGAGCTTCTGCCTACACGTGGCTTCTAGAAAGAAACCGGTAAGGAAACCACACAGCAGCTATTAGCCCATTCATTATGTAAGTAACAATCTGGAGAAATAAGCCAAGAACAAATCTGTAACATCAGTGGGATGGCGAGGTACCCAATTTCCAAAGTGAAAGGCAATTTGCTGAGGTTACCTGAACAGCACAGGGATTGCAGATTGTACCCACACTGACAGATAACATTTTATAGTTTTGATCCGTGACTTATTTGAAGGAATGCACTTGTGAAGCAAGACATGAGAAAGAGTAAAGGACCTGAAACAGGAAAAAATGGACTGTGTTAAGCATGCAGGATTCAAGCATGCGAGGTTTCATTCCGCTTTCACACCAACATTGATCCCATTAACTTCCACAGGAACAGGCTTGATTTACTCAATAGTAAACAGTCAGAACGAGTCCTGCAGATGGAGTCTAGCAGAGCACTTAATTTTTAGCAGGCAGGCTCCCCTGGGTTTGTTTAGGGCTATGCCCCTGCTTGCAGCCAGGTGCTTACTGTGAAGATTTGCTAGAGTGAGCAGTGCTGTTCTCAAACCATCAGCACAGCAGCGCTGCTCCCACACCAGCCTGGCCAATTCTCCTTTCACTTCGTCCAGTTTCTTCTCAGAAGTATTCAACGATGAGGGCAGGCTTTTAGGGAACTTGTGATATGGGAGCAGTTAATCAGCCTTGGGTCCAAATTGTCCAGCTCACTGGTTAAACACAAACCCCATGAGGACTGGAATTAATATGCCACTATCTTACTTTCTAAGCAGTGCAACATCACCCGGAGAGTTCCCATGCGGATAGAAAACACATCATCATGAAGAACAAGGTAAAATACATGAATAAAAAGGTTGCTACTGAGTATCATGTCCTTACATGACCAACAAAGTTTCTAAAGTTCCTGTTTGAAATCTAAACAAACACACCTTTATTTGCACTGAATTTCCCCATTCCTCCTTCCTCTGTTCTCCCCAGCTGTCCAGAAGCTGCTGGCTGGAATTACTCTGCTCTTGAGTCCACATTTCACTTACTTGCTTCCACAGTAGTTTAAATCGTTACTTTTTATTAGAAAAAAAGTTTTATAAAAAACACAACCCACTTCTCCCTCAGCCGAGGTGTAGGCAGGCAGGGTGCAACAGAAGGAAGTTCTGTTCTTCCAGGCAGATACACCAACAGGACACTGGCAGGTCTCTGCAGAGGGTGACAGACAATTTCATAGGCAATGAAGTTTTAAACAGAACAAATAATAATAAAAGAGATGGAGAGAGCAGATTGCCTCTGATGTGACCAGAAACATCCTTTGAGGATGCTAATGGAGGAGAGAATTGATTTTAAAGCTTGCCTTTTTATGCCACACACAGCAAGAACAAGCGCTTGCATCAAACATGAGCATGCATAAAGATCCCTTTCCCTGGAAGACAGTTTTAGACTCAGTTTTTGGCAACAAGATGTGCAAAACACTAAAATATTTATCGAATTCTTTGCGCCAAATACCCAGGCACAAGCTCTGCACTATTTCTGCATGGGTCTATTGCAGCAGACCCAGGGAGGTCTCAGTGCCTCCACAAAAGATAAGCTCCTCGTAGATGGGATTACCAAAAAGAGCCCAACACTAGAGATTTTATTTGTCCTCCGTGACAAGATTCATTGTAAATGCAGCTGTTAAGAAGCTAACACCATCAGTGGCTTCTGCCTGGAGTTTGAAGAAGGGGATTGTTTGAGCTCAGCAAATTCTGGCAGCTTCCTCCCCTGGACAGGAGGCAGTACAGTACATGCTTGTGCATCACCGCCCAGCCTAACACAGGGCTTTCAGAAAGCCCTCTTCATGCAAAATCCAGCCACCCTCCCACATCCATATACAATAGGCTGGTTATTAATACATCAACCTGCTAAAAAAAGTTTCAGACCTCCTTAAGATTCAGGTCACAGCAAAACTGTCCATCAGGCAGTTTCCCAGATCCTGACATATCAGCATTGAAATGCTGACACCAGGAGCCTGCCTCTCCCTGCAACGTTTCTCTCTCCTCACCACCTCACCCTCTCAGGCCGAGTGCTGAATTTGGTGCTGGCTGGATCTCAGACCAGACAGCAACCCTCTCAGGCTGCCCAAACATCATTGTCACCACCTGCCTGTGTCCTGGTCTTGCTGGGAATAAAACTCCACTGTGTGGGTCCAAAGTTGCAGCACAGGCTACCTAAAGATGTAACTGCAACAGCTAAAATACAAGTTATCCTCGGTACCTGGTAAGCCAGGCTCTGTATGCCAATTAAAAAAAAAGAAGTTGATCAATAATCATCTTCTAAGCCCTATTTCGCATGCAAACATCTATCAGGATCCATTTCATTTAGGGGATATAGTGCACCTTGCAAAGAAACCAGTCCCAGGGGTAGCGATATTCATACGGAGAGAAGAGCAGGGGATGCACGGGGAGGGAAGGGGTAGGGAGAGCTGACAGGCTGCAGTTCGGTGAGGAAGCTTTGATCTAAGATAGAAGGAAAAAAGGATTAAGAGTCCTTTAGACTCTATCAATATGGTTTATTTATCAAGCTAGAACCTATTATGATTGTACCGAGAGCTTTGAAGTTCCCTGGCCTATGTAAATTGTTTATTTATGATTCTGTACCTGAGATATGTCAGAAGTGCTGCCCTGGGAGTTTGAAGGCTTCCCACAGGACGATGAACGTGAGGAGGCTTTAACCCGACGGTGTTTCACCTTGTGCTGCCAGCGCACACAGGTTTCAGTTCAAACTGGGCCCCTCTTCCCTAAGGGCCAAAAGACGCAGAGAGCTTTGTGATGACGCCGATAACTTGATTGGGAAAGGAAAAAACTGTGCCACTGTAACACCAGCATCTGTCAGAGCACGTGGAAGCAGGAATGCCCCTTTCACCTGTGGCATCCAGAGGCTGATGTCACTGCTCAAGGGCTCAAACAGAGCTCCACCAGCTGTGGCACCAAGCAGTGGCTATCTGGAGTGAAATACTTCATACTAAAACAAAGCAAAACAGTTTCTCTTCCTACCATACCCCAACCCCACACACCACACAACTCACAGCAAAATTAAAACTAAACCCACAAAAGATTTGTTTCTACATCTGTTTCTACCAGTGCTAGGCAGCTCCCTGAAACAGATCCTAGGGCTTTTTTTACAGCCTGTCTGAATATTTCAAAATACAAGACCAGCATACTTTTATTTCCCAACTTCTGTTCCTTTTCTTCATGATGTATTTCTTTAATGATCTAATCTACTTTTCCACTTGCCTTCCCGCTAGTGGAGTAGCTTTTTCCACAGAAGCATACCCACTCCTTCCCTCCTCACGACACACATTAATACAGGCATTTTCCATTCCTCCCCCAGCTCTCATACCATCATCTGCCTCCTGTGCTCCCCTTTCTTCCATTCCATACTTTGCTCAAAAACCCAAGTGCGGAAACAAATACCCCACCGTGTCAAGTCATTGTCATCCCTTTCTTGTTTCCCTCCTTCAC